TTACGTGTAAAAACTTATAGATATCATCTTTGTCAGTGTCTGCCTAAGCTGTTAGTCTGATTCTGGCCATAATTCAACCTTGTTTTTTTTTTTTTTTTTCAAAACATTTTAGGGCATTTTCTACTCACTTGCAGAGAAGTTGGTAATTACTGGTTAGTTATCCAGGAAAGCAAGTTGGGTAGATTGACCACCAAGATATGGCCAAAGAAAAAATGTGTTAAAATTTGCGTAAAAACTTTAAATTTCTGGTAACTTGTCCATGATTTAGACACCATGATTTAGACCAGGGTTGTTGATTCTGTCCAGCTGTAATGTCTGACAGTTACTGTTTGTTTGGCCTAATCTTTTGTATTATTCACCATAATTTTAAAGTATTAAACTGCAATCATTTTATTTCTATGAAGCACAGCATGCTACCCTTTATAACCCTGCCTAATTATTTAAAGTTATTAAACAAGAAAGGGCATACAATACAGGTTAACTGACTATATGGCACAGGTTAGTGACTGTCGACAGATGTTTGCAGGCAATAAATGATCAACATATCATTGGGACAATCATCCCCTAATCAGCACCCTTACCCCACATTGCTTTATCAAACTATAAACTCTATTCATCCAGTCATGAATGGTCAACAAAGATTGACCTGTTGAGTGTTTGGTCAGTATTTAAAGAAGCTTTAGCTATCTGTCAAGCTAATAAGACTTCAATCAGAAGATAGTCAACTCTTAAATCCTTTAAAACTTATACAACTAATGCTTATTTTACTATCAGAATATAGTGAAATTTATTATTGGTTCCAACTTCATATTGGAAACTTTTTTTTTTCAAAAATGTTTATAATGAAAGAGTGTAATATTAGTAGGAAAAGAATTTGCTAATTGATCAATTTCAAATTCAGTGGATGGGGACAATTCTAATGACAGAATTTAAAGACACCATTGCTATTTCAATTTTTTTTGCATTCATTGATTATTTTCAAACCAGTGACACTAATTTCCATATGATTGTGCATATAATCATATAGAGCCTACATGATTTTAAGATGAACTAAATTTTCACTTTTCTTACTTATTCTGCAAACAATTTGAGTTAATAAAAGAAATTAGTGAAAACATTGTTTTGTTTTTAAATTGCAGCAAAAATTACAGTAACATCATTTAAGAAGATAGTTAATTATGGTTTAACTTTCATCATGAATATTTAGCTTCAGTACCCTGCTTGAACTGAAAGTGATCGGCTTTTGCAGCCAGGCGTCTGTAAGCTACTAACCTGAACATTATTTGCAATCTGACCAGGCTCTATACTGTTGGTAGCTCAATATTAAAGATCCTGTATGTTATAATTGAAATTTTATATTATGTGTATAATTACATGTATGCTTCTGAACCAGTTTTCGAACATCAAAGAAAATTTAAAATGTGAACTGCAAATATTTGTGCACATTATATGTAATCATTAAAATACATGCATTCATTTCTTATTGAAATATTTGACTTAGACTTATTAGAAAATAAATTTCTAATTACCTCCCTTTATTTACATGAAATGTTAAATTAGGTAATATCTTTATAAATAATGCTTTTTGACACTTACAATAGTGATAAATCTTAATTTGAGCATCATATTTATGATATAAAACCATAAAAAAAATTGGGTTTACAAGATCTTTAATATTTTGATATTGAAATCCCTTAAACTTTGAATGGACTGTTCCAAAAACAAATCTGGGCAAATCTATTACATAAATTGAGCAGGTTATTGGTTGAAAACAATTATATATGTAAAATATGATTCAACTTTGAACATTTTCTAGATTACTGGCTATAAACTTGTATGTCATAAATGGTTTTTGTTGGCTGGTTGTCTTAATACATTTGTCTGGTTCTCTCATGGCAGACATCCTTTAATAAAACCGCTGGAATTTTGCCCAATGGAGAAAATTTCATGATTTTAAAACAAATAAATAAAATTGCTCTGTTACCTAAGAAGAAAGGTAGAGAAAAAAATGTAAATAATTTTTTTATGATTTTTTTTTTTTTTCAAATTTGATGCGTAAAATGGTAAATAGTTCAGTGTTACAGGGAGATAATTACTTTAGAATTATGACAATAACTTTGAATCAGTTGTAATTTAATAGAATTCAGATTTCTTTTTATTTCATTTCTGTGTATTTTGATCAGATGCATGTTGGCAGGGCTTCCCAGTTTTAATGTTGGATGTTAAATTGTTTTATATCCTTTAATTTAAACATGTGCCAGTCACAAATTGAAATGAAGTTGAAAAGTTATGGTGGGATAATCCGGTCAGATTACAAGGGGGATGGGACGATTCACACCTTAGATAATGTTATACACTGGTATGGAACAAAAGTGTCAGGGCATGTGTTAGTATTAAGTTAGTTGCTCATTCTTTGAGATGTCTCGCAAATTTCATTTAGTGCTCTAAAAGGTGAAAAGACATTTTCCGCTCACAAGTCGGAACAAAAGTTTGAACACGACAGCAATTTCATGGGATTAAGTCCTAACTAAAGGCTGGGCAGTGTGAATACAAGATGTGATGGTTGAAATTAAAATACTGGCATTAAATAACAAGAATGGGTTTTGAGGGAAATTAAAGCTGTCCCCTGGAAATAGATGACTCTATCAATGAGTTTAGAAGCTTTATTAGGTGTTAAAATTAATAGTTGGACCGGAGGTCTGGTCATCTTTGTGTATCAGTCAAATCAAATGATCCAGAAGCTTGATGTAATGTCATATGACAGTCAGAACAAGCTTCCAGGTGATATGACCTGTGTGTTAGAGGGACGGCCTAAGGCTGGCGACTAGAGGGTCATAGTTCAACTTTTAATGTTCACAGTACATCCTGCAAAAGGGGATAATAAAAATCATGCTGGTGTAATTAATAACTTTTTATGAAACAGAAAATGATATACATTGGCAGAAAAATCTGTTATATAAAATTCTTACTCTGCATTGTTTTTGTTTTTTTTGTACTTTACAGTAGAATTATAATTATACAAATCTCATAGGTATAATGCAAACAAATACTCTAATTTATGTATTTCATTTGCAAAAAAAAGAAGAAACATTATTCCAAATGATCGTCTTGCTAAAGATTACAAAATTCACATTTAGAATAAAATAAAAGTAATATCAGCAATGATTGTATCTGTGATAACGTTGATATCTTTATGAGTTTATAATTACCAGTCTTATATCACAATATCTTGAATACAAGAAACATAAATAGATGGTAATTGGCACCACAAACAAATCTCTTGTTATTGATTTCTGCAGTGTCTGGTAAGATAAGATAATATTGCATGAGATTGATATCACAGTCTGGCATGGAATATTATATCATTAGCTCGACTATTCGAAGAATATGAGAGCTATTGTAGTCGCCCCGACTCTATCATGCATTAAGGCTGATTCATATCCCCTTTTCTACTTAGTCTCTTGGTTAATGTTTACAGTCATGCAAGTTTTACATATCTCAATAACTATTAAAGATATTTATTTAAAACTTCACATATGCATTTAGGGTCATAATTGTAGGTCACTGACAAAGATCCATAAAATCTATCTTGCATTTAGGCTGATTTTTCTCCCCTTTTTCAACTTAGAAATTCATGGTAAAGTTTTGCTTGTAAGCTGTTATCTCAATTACTACTGAAGGGTTTGTGCCCTTTTTTGGGACAATTTTATGCATTCATAATAATAAAGCAGTGATTTACTTGATAAAACATCTTAATTAGAAGCCTATGTACCTTTTCTGTTAAATTTATGTATTCATAGGTAATTAGTATTATTATACTCAATAAAACAACCTTGTGACATTACCTACCGAATAGTCAAGCCAATACTGTATAATTAGACTCTCTGAGTCTAAGGCCTATAACATGAATTTATTTAAAAAAAAAAAGACCTTTTGTGGTCTTAAAAAATTTAACATTATCAAGGCTCTTTTACTATCAAGCACTTAGAATAGTCGAGCATGCTGTCCTACCGACAGCTCTTGTTTTAATATTAGAATGAATATATTTTCTACAAGTCTGATTTCTACAATTTCATATCTTTATATATGAGGTGTCATGCCACAGTTTGATATCTTACATTACAGGTCTGATATCACAATTTGATATCTTATATAATAGTGATTTGATATCTTATATAAGAGGTCTGATATCACAATCTCACATTAGTGGTCTGATATCACAATTTGATATCAAAGTGGTCTGATATCACAATTTGATATCTTATATTAGAGGTCTGATATCACAATTTATATCTTATATTAGAGTTGTGATATCACAAAATGATATCTTATATAAGAGGTCTGATATCACAATTTGATATCTAAGAGGTCTAATATCACAATTTGATATCTTATATTAGATGTCTGATATCACAATTTATATCTTATATTAAAGTTGTGATATCACAATTTGATGTCTTATACTGCAGGTGTGATACCACAATATGATATCTTATATAAGAGGTCTGATATCAAAATTTAATATCTTATACTGCAGGTTTGATATGACAATGTGATATCTAAAAGGTCTGATATCACAATTTGATATCTAAAAGATCAAATATCACAATAATTGAATTTATATCTTATATTAGAGTTGTGATATCACAATTTGATATCTTATATTATAGGTCTGATATCACAATTTGATATCTTATAAGTCTGTTATCACAATTTGATATCTGATATTAGATGTCTGATATCACAATTTGATATTTTATATTATAGGTCTGTTATCTTATAGGTCTGTTATCACAATTTGATATCTGATATTTCCAGGCAAATTACTTATTTCACAGGACTAGTCTGATATCATCTTGGAATAATTATTTTACAGGTCTGATAGTATAATTAAATATTATTATTATCTCATTTTAAATGGTAAAGCCATTCATATAGCATATTAGCACATTGATTTTTCAGAAAGATATCAAAATCTGATCATTTATTTTATTTTACAGGACTGACATCCATGAGATGTATCCAAACAAGTTTGTACAGATGGATGAGAATAGATTTAGAATTTTCAACACTTTATACGAACTGCCAAGTAAGTACACACTATTATGAAGATCCCTGCTTGCTGGTATCAAAAATGACTACACTATGCTGCATGTATACATGTATAGTGCCAGGCTAGCATTCTATCTTACCCATCCTGCCTTGAAACAGACGTGACATGACTTGAAAAATAACAAAACAAATAAAATTCAAGAAAATGGAAGTCCTGACATGGGTGAAATTTGCTGTTAAAAAGCTACTATTACCATTTTCTTTCTTAAATATAGTCAGTATTACTTCAGAGAACAAATACAGTAATAGTTCAAACATGTTTTTTTTACAGAACATAGCTTCTTAATAAAACATTGATGTTTTGTTTTTGCAATTATGTAAATCAGTTTACCTTAGTAATGATAATTAACAATTTCTAGAATGTTTCTGCCATAAAAAAAGTTAATGCAACATTTGACACTTTGTTTATTAACAACACAAGACAACTTGATGCATTCTTAATTAGCAAATCATCCCAAATATCCCATTCCCTAAATTGTTTTCATTTATACATTTTTCTGGTGTAAGGGAGACTACTCTAATAGATACTCTGAACTTTTTACTTTTTTGTGGAAAAAGGGAGACAATTATTGCTGGAATGTTTACTTTATGAAATTGATGTAATCCAGAGTTAACATTGAGGGTAAATGTGCCATGATGAAAACAGGGTTGAGACTAAACAATTTACATTCTATCAGTAATGACTTGGGATTGAATAGTTGGCATAAGTTATAGAAAATCAACATCATGTATTGTATGTGATGGCTGATTGTTTCATTGTGCCCATAGACCTATGACGTGCACTTTTGTTGGTTATTTTGGTAATTTCTGTAAAACTAAAAATAAAGAGGACTTTGCATAATTATAAGAATGTTTGAAGTACATTATAACATAGTAATGCAGAGCAACATTATTTGGAAGACAGAGATATGGTTGTTGTAGAGAGGTGGTTCTGTGGAGAGGTTTAATTTATTGTGATATCTTACTTTGTAATAACTGAAACTGTTGTTCTATAAAGGTGCTTGCGCTACAGAGGGCCTTTAATACAGAGGCTATCTTATATTGGCATTAAATTTAATTCTTCTCTTGTCTTGCCATCTATTTGTCTATTATTATTGTAAATTTCTAATAATTCTGATTTTTAAACAATTGTTCACATGCTGTATTTCTGACTCAAACCAAGGAGTTACATTAGTTACAAAAGGTTTTCCTGTTTTAGCCAATTTTTTTTCAGATGACATACATTGTATATAGTTAAGCTTACAGATGCTTATAAAAAAAAAAACTATAAAAAACTGAAACAATAAAAAAATAAGAATATTATTTGAGCCGTGTCATGACAAAACCAACATAGTGGTTTGCGACCAACATGGATCCAGACCAGCCTACGCATCCGCACAGTCTGATCAGGATCCATGCTGTTTGCGTACAAACCCTATTACAAGTAGAGAAACTGATAGCGAACAGCATGGATCCTGATCAGACTGCTCAGAAACGCAGGCTGGTATGGATCCATGCTGGTCGCAAACCTACTACAGTCCGACCCCGGTTATTCGACAACCCTTTATTCGAATACCCGGCATTATCCGAAGTAGATCGCCGGTCCTGTTTTTATCTCTATATAAAACAATATAAATACGAGCGTATTATTCGAAATGCTTTATCCGAATACCTCCTATTTTTCGAAGTAATATTTCGGTCCCGATTATACAATTATGAAAGAATTTCACACCTATTATTCAAAGCCAGCCTAATTATTATTCGAAGCCAGACTAAATGACGCAGATCCACTCGCTGACCAGTCGACTTGTGAAAAATATCCACAGTCATGCGTGTGATAACTCTTCGTGTGTTCTTTAATTACCGAAAATGAAAAGCTATGCACCTTGTCCGATTCTGTTTAAGATGACAGCAATAATTTTTATACATTCCGTATATGTGAATTTGTCAAAACATCCAACACATTTTTTTTCATTAATTGTAACGCTACATGAGAGCCTTAATTTATCCTAATTGAAAATACCAGAGTTTAGCTGTAAATACCGTAGTGACGACACAGCCATTATCAAGGCTTTGCGCGAGATCAAACGATACATAATGTAGAATAAAATGCAAGTATTTATGTCTTCAGTGTCTTTTCTTTTCTATAATATTTATTTTTCTCAATTGATTACAGGAAGCAAGTGTGTTGTAAACGGTAGTTTTGCGATGATTGGTCAAAGTGGAGTAGTTTTCGTCTATCACAATATTCCAATTTCGATTATTCGAACCCATCGATTATTCGAAGTAAATATTCAGTCCCAGGCACTTGGAATAAAGGGGGTTAGACTGTATGTTGGTTTTGTCATGACAAGGCTCTTATATATACAACATGTTATCTTTGTCAAACATTTGATAAAACACAAAATCATCAAATAATAACTTTGTTATTTAAAATATAATACAATGTCTTGGGGAGTCTGTGGCCGAGTGGTTAAGGTTGTTGACTTCAAACCACTTGTCTCTCACTGCTGTAGGTTCTGGTTAAATCTGCACAGAGTCTTCGAAATGGTTCTTGTGTCTTTCTCCATCAGTAAAGCTGGAAAGTCTCCTACTGTGTTGGTGTAAAACCCAACCAAAAAATTTTTTTTTTTTAAATGAGGTCTTGTGAACTTGAAATATACAGAAGAGTTGTGGTTAAGGTGTCTGCCTTTCAATTCAAGGATTGTGGGTTCAAGGTCTACAGGGGTCATTGGCCATTTTTCTTCATATGACATCAGTATTGGTCAATTCATGGTAGAAGATTGAAAGTAAAATAGAATGCAAGTATTCTTCAATATTCAGCTTAAAAAGAGATATTTAAAAATAAACAGAAATATAGCAGTTTACCAGATGTCTAATTGCACTCATTTACATTATATATTAATGATATATCTGTAAAATTAAAGAAAATACTTCAAATCAAAGTGCACAGCAGTTGTTAATAATCTGTACAGCAGATTTCTGCACTGTAATTTATTCAATAAATAAACTTTGAGTAAGAAAAGTGTGAAATTAATAACTTCATATGTTTTGTGAAATGTTTTCCATTTGCTATTTTTTCATTAATTGATTCTTTTTCAAAGTCGTTTTTTTTCATCTGTATGAGGTTAGGATGTGAGTTTAAGTCAAAAGATGTTTAATTTTTGAAATACCTAATTTTTGATTATTATAAAAGTTGTGCGTCTATTTGAATTATCTGATTTCAATTTGCAAGTTTAATGATGTATGTAAAATAGCTATATTTCTCTTTACCATCTCATCTTTTTTTCTGGCTCAATTTTTTTGTGAGGGAAGAATTTTTTTTTGATGAATAGTGTCAGCTGTATTATCCAGTGTTTCTTTCTACATTAAGGTATCATTATAAAAATGGAGGTGATTTTTTATTGCATAACACCTGTCGGAATTTATACAAGCCCATCAAAATTTTGACATCCAATACATTGATGGCAATAAACTACTGCAGGTTTTTTTCTCTGTTTGCTCATGTGAATTAAATGTTTTCACAGACTGAACAACTTCTCCTACCATTTAACTTTCTGATATATGTAGTGTTAGGTCATTGAGCTGTAAGTATAGGAAATGTTAGCCTCATACTAAGGGGGCCTCTGCAATGGAATGGTTAAGCTGTTGGGGCCACTGCAGCAGAATAGTCAAGCTGTGGGGGCCACTGAAGCAGAATGGTTAAGCTGCAGGGTCCACTACAGCAGAATGGTTAAGCTGCGGGGGCCACTGCAGCAGAATGGTTAAGATGCGGGGCCACTGCAGCAGAATGTGGGTGCCACTGCAGATGAATAGTTAAGCTGTGGGGGCCACTGAAGCAGAATGTTTAAGCTATGTGGGCCACTTTAGATGAATAGTTTAGCAACGGGGGCCACTGCAGTAGAATGGTCAAGCTGTGGGGGCCACTGCAGATGAATAGTTAAGCTGTTGGGGCCTCTGCAGCAGAATGGTCAAGCTGTGGGGTCCACTACAGCAGAATGTTCAAGCTGTGGGGGCCACTGCAGCAGAATGGTTAAGCTGCGGGGGCCACTGTAGATGAATAGTTAAGCTGTGGGGGCCACTACAGCAGAATGTTCAAGCTGTGGGGGCCACTACAGCAGAATGGTCAAGCTGTGGGGACCACTGAAGCAGAATGGTTAAGCTGTGGGGACCATTAAAGCAGAATGGTTAAGCTGTGGGGCCACTATAGCAGAATGGTTAAGCTGTGGGGCCACTACAGCAGGATGGGTAAGCTGTGGGAGGGCACTGCAGCAGAGTGGTTAAGCTGTGGGGCCACTACAGCAGAATGGTTAAGCTGTGGGAGGGCACTGCAGCAGAATGGTTAAGCTGAGGGGGCACTGCCAGAATGGTAAAGCTGTGGGGGCCACTGCAGATGAAAAGTTAAGCTGTGGGGGCCACTGAAGCAGAATGGTTCAGCTGTGGGGGCCACTACAGCAGAATGGTCAAGCTGTGGGGACCACTAAAGCAGAATTGTAAGCTGTGGGGTCCACTACAGCAGAATGGTTAAGCTGTGGGGACCACTTAAGCAGAATGGTTAAGCTGTGGGGCCACTACAGCAGAATGGTCAAGCTGTGGGGACCCCTTAAGCAGAAGGTTAAGCTGCAGGGGCCACTGCAGCAGAATGGTCAAGCTGTGGGGACCACTAAAGCAGAATGGTTAAGCTGTGGGGCCACTACAGCAGAATGGTTAAGCTGTAAGGGGCACTGCAACAGAATGGTTTAGATGAGGGGGGCACTGCAGCAGAATGGTTAAGCAGCTGGGACCACTGCAGCAGAATGGTTAAGCTGCGGGACCACTGCAGCAGAATGGTTAAGCTGTGGTAGTCACTACAACAGAATGGTTAAGCTGTGGGGGCCACTACAGCAGGATGGTTAAGCTGTGGGGGCCACTACAGCAGAATGGTTAAGCTGTGGTAGCCACTACAACAGAATGGTTAAGCTGTGGTAGCCACATACAACAGAATGGTTAAGCTGTGGGGGCCACTGCAGATGAATAGTTAAGCTGTTTGGGGCCTCTGCAGCAGAATGGTCAAGCTGTGGGGTCCACTACAGCAAAATGGTTAAGCTGTGGGGGCCACTGCAGCAGAATGGTCAAGCTGTGGGGCTACTGCAGATGAATAGTTAAGCTGTGGGGGCCACTGAAGCAGAATGTTTAAGCTGTGGGGCCACTACAGCAGAATGGTCAAGCTGTGGGGACCACTGAAGCAGAATGGTTAAGCTGTGGGGACCATTAAAGCAGAATGGTTAAGCTGTGGGGCCACTATAGCAGAATGGTTAAGCTGTGGGGCCACTACAGCAGAATGGTTAAGCTGTGGGAGGGCACTGCAGCAGGGTGGTTAAGCTGTGGGGCCACTACAGCAGAATGGTTAAGCTGTGGGGAGGGCACTGCAGCAGAATGGTTAAGCTGAGGGGACACTGCAGCAGAATGGTAAAGCTGTGGGGGCCACTGCAGATGAAAAGTTAAGCTGTGGGGGCCACTGAAGCAGAATGGTTCAGCTGTGGGGGCCACTACAGCAGAATGGTCCAAGCTGTGGGGACCACTAAAGCAGAATTGTAAGCTGTGGGGTCCACTACAGCAGAATGGTTAAGCTGTGGGGCCACTACAGCAGAATGGTTAAGCTGTGGGGCCACTACAGCAGAATGGTCAAGCTGTGGGGACCACTTGAGCAGAATGGTTAAGCTGCAGGGGCCACTGCAGCAGAATGGTCAAGCTGTGGGGACCACTAAAGCAGAATGGTTAAGCTGTGGGGCCACTACAGCAGAATGGTTAAGCTGTAAGGGGCACTGCAACAGAATGGTTTAGATGAGGGGGGGGCACTGCAGCAGAATGGTTAAGCAGCTGGGACCACTGCAGCAGAATGGTTAAGCTGCAGAGGACCACTGCAGCAGAATGGTTAAGCTGTGGTAGCCACTACAACAGAATGGTTAAGCTGTGGGGGCCACTACAGCAGAATGGTTAAGCTGTGGGGGCCACTACAGCAGAATGGTTAAGCTGTGGTAGCCACTACAACAGAATGGTTAAGCTGTGGTAGCCACTACAAACAGAATGGTTAAGCTGCGGGGCCACTACAGCAGAATGGTTAAGCTGTGGTAGCCACTACAACAGAATGGTTAAGCTGTGGTAGCCACTACAACAGAATGGTTAAGCTTTGGGGGCCACTACAACAGAATGGTTAAGCTGTAGGGGCCACTACAGCAGAATGGTTAAACTGTGGGGGCCACTACAACAGAATGGTTTAGCTGCAGGGGCCACTACAGCAGAATGGTTAAGCTGTGGTAGCCACTACAGCAGAATGGTTAAGCTGTGGGGGCCACTTCAACAGAATGGTTAAGCTGCGGGGGCCACTACAGCAGAATGGTTAAGCTGTGGTAGCCACTACAACAGAATGGTTAAGCTGTGGTAGCCACTACACAGAATGGTTAAGCTTTGGGGGCCACTACAACAGAATGGTTAAGCTGTGGGGGCCACTACAGCAGAATGGTTAAGCTGTGGGGCCACTACAACAGAATGGTTTAGCTGCAGGGGCCACTACAGCAGAATGGTTTAGCTGTGGTAGCCACTACAGCAGAATGGTTAAGCTGTGGGGCAACTGTGACATTTGGTTAAGCTGTGGGGCCATTGCAGAAGAATGGTAAAGCTGTGGGGGCAACTGTGACATTTGGTTAAGCTGTGGGGCCATTGCAGAAGAATGGTAAAGCTGTTGGGGCCACTACAGCAGAATGGTTAAGCTGTGGGGGCCACTACAGCAGAATGGTTTAGCTGTTGGGGCCACTACAGCAGAATGGTTAAGGTTGCTTACTATAGATTACTTACCACCCAACACTGTCCATTCGAATTTTACATGAAGTTTTGATTCTTTCATGTGAGGGAGCTAGCTTATGAATGGTTAATTGTTATCAAAGGCCGACCCTCCTGCCTGAAATAATAAGGGGCTCCTGAGGTGTTCCTACAGAAGTAAAGCTAGAAAGTTGTCATATGAACTTGACATTGTTGCTTTGACTTAAAACTCGAAATCAAATATATACTTACTATATTCTGAACAATTAACTGGCACATCCTCATGCAGTCTGGTAGAGACTATACTGTTACCTGCTCACTATTCCGACATTTCTAACAATAACAATTACTTTAACCCTTACAATGCACAATATTTTAGATAGGTCCATCTTTCAACCTGGATAAAACCATTTGTCACTTAGAAATTTTTTTTCAAAATATGTATTAGTTGAATATCAAACTGGGGCTGCTAAAGCTAAAAATAGAAATACCTTTAAATGTCTGCATCTACATAACTAATTGAGGGACTAATTGAGGGATGATCACCAAATTTTGTCTGTAGCATTCTTAGGTAGTGTTTTATCAAGTTTGCTTATATTAATTTGATTGGCCTCTTTTAGAGGCAGCTAAAGCTAGAAATAGAAAACATTTGAACATCATCTCCTACTAAAATAATTGATGGATAATCACCAAATTTTGTCTGTAGCATTCTTAAGTAGTCTTTTATTTTTTTTACTGAAAAGCAGTTGTTTCTGGTGAGCGACTCAGGGTCATCATGGCCCTCTTGTTCTATTCCGTCACAAATTAAGTTTTACCCTTGATATAATAAAGTTTTTAATCCTTTTTAAATTGCTGAAAATGATTGTGAATCCAAATGTATATCTTATAGTATTGTATTAATATATATGAATTTTTGTGTGACTGTCAAAAAAACAATTTATATTGTATTTATGTTTCAGTAATGTACATGTTAGCTGTTGTAGTGGATATGTTTAGTCACAACCCAGAATACACAAGGTAAAAAATATATGAGCATATTTTTTTGTAGAAATGTAGTTTGTAAATTTAAAGTCCTTTACAATTGAGCTGTGTCATGACAAAACCAACGTAATGCGTTTGCGACCAGCATGGATCCAGACCAGCCTGCGCATCCGCGCAGTCTGATCAGGATCCATGCTGTTCGCTTACAAACGTTATTACAAGTAGAGAAACTGATAGCGAACAGCATGGATCGTGATCAGACTGCGCGGATGCATGCTGGTCGCAAACCCATTATGTTGGTTTTGTCATGACGCGACTCAATTTGACATTATGAAGTAGAATCCTTACTTATTATTGCTCAGCTAAGACTAGAAATTTCTGCTCTTTTTACAATGGTCAGTGTTTCAAAATTTGAACCACGCTGCAATTTTTTTATTGCGCCTGTTAACAAGGAGCCATGTGAAGAAAATACAAGATATCAGCTTAGTAATTATTTTTTGACACTTTTTCAACATGGAAATATTGTGTGTTAACCTTTTTCATAACTAAGTAAAAATGTAAGAAAGTAGAGCCCCGCCTTACGACCACCCCGTTTTCATGACCAATCCACTATTACGACCAATTTTTTTAAAGAACAGATTTTTTGCTTCTTATTTCATTGGTCTTTCTATTCAAAAGGAGATCAGCCTGCTCTTATGTAAAACCACCACTTTCTCGTGACCAATTAACAAAATATGGATGTATTTTGACCCTGATATTCAGATCATTCCAGGATAGTTGTAAAATCACAGGTGTCAACACTAATTGAGGAGTTTTGTTCTAATTATTTCCTCATGGTTTTATTATAGCAAGGAATTTTGCTCATGGTTTTATTATAGCAAGGAATTTTGTTCTAATTATTTCCCCATGGTTTTATTATAGCAAGAATTTTGCTCATGGTTTTATTATAGCAAGGAGTTTTGTTCTTATTATTTCCCCATGGTTTTATTATAGCAAGGAGTTTTGTTCTACTTATTTCCCCATGGTTTTATTATAGCAAGGAGTTTGTTCTAATTATTTCCCCATGGTTTTATTACAGCAAGGAGATTTATTCTGATTATTCCCCCATGGTTTTATTATAGCAAGGAGATTTGTTCTGATTATTTCCCCATGGTTTTATTATAGCAAAGTGTTTTGTTTTAATTATTTCCCCATGGTTTTATCATAGCAAGGAATTTTGCTCATGGTTTTATTATAGCAAGGAAATTTGTTCTAATTATTTCCCCATGGTTTTATTATAGCAAGGAATTTTGTTCTAATTATTTCCCCATGGTTTTATTATAGGAAGGAGTTTTGTTCTAATTATTTCCCTATGATTTTATTATAGCAAGGAATGTTGTGCATGGTTTTATTATAGCAAGGAGTTTTGTTCTAATTATTTCACTATGGTTTTATTATATTAAGGAATTTTGTTCTAATTATTTCCCCTTGGTTTTATTATAGCAAGGAATTTTGTTTTAATTATTTCCTTATGGTTTTATTATAGCAAGGAATTTTGTTTTAATTATTTCCTTATGGTTTTATTCTAGCAAGGAATTTTGTTTTAATTATTTCCCTATGGTTTTATTATGCCCCCGCCATGTAATGGCCGGGGCATATAGTGTTACCCTGTTACGTCCTTCCGTCATTCCGTCCTTCCGTCATTCTGTCATTCCTTCATCATCAGTTTCCGTTCATTATCTTAGTAACGGTTGCACACATTCAACTCAAATTTGACATATGGATATGTCATGAGAAAATACAGGTCAAGTTCGAATTTGGTCATGGTTCAATGATTTTTGGCAGAGTTATGCCCCTTTAACTTTGAAAATAATATGAAATTTTCAGTTTCCGTTCATTATCGCCCCAACGGTACAGCACATTCAACTCAAACTTGACATATGGATATGTCATGATAAAATACAGGTCAAGTTCAAATTTGGTCATGGGTCGATGATTTTTGGCAGAGTTATGCCCCTTTTACTTTGAAAATAATATGAAATTTTCAGTTTCCGTTCATTATCTCCCCAACAGTACAACACATTCAACTCAAATTTGGCATATGGATATGTCATGATAAAATACAGGTCAAGTTCGAATTTGGTCATGGTTTGATGATTTTTGGCAGAGTTATGCCCCTTTCACTTTGAAAATAATATGAAATTTTCAGTTTCCGTTCATTATCTCCCCAATGGTACAACACATTCAACTCAAACTTGACATATGGATATGTCAAAGGAATGCGCAGGTCAAGTTCAAATTTGGTCATGGTTCAATGATTTTTGGCAGAGTTATGCCCCTTTCACTTTGAAAATAATATGAAATTTTCAGTTTCCGTTCATTATCTCCCCAATGGTACAACACATTCAACTCAAACTTGACATATGGATACGTCAAAGGAATGCGCAGGTCAAGTTCAAATTTGGTCATGGTTCAATGATTTTTGGCAGAGTTATGCACCTTTCACTTTGAAAATAATATGAAATTTTCAGTTTCTGTTTATTATCTCCCCACCGGTTCAACACATTCAACTCAAATTTGACATATGGATATGTTTTTGGAATGCCTAGGCCAAGTTCGAATTTGGTCATGGTTCAATGATTTTTGGCAGAGTAAAGCCCCTTTCACTTTGAAAATAATATGAAATTTTCAGTTTCTGTTCATTATCTACCCAACAGTGTTACATATTCAACTCAAATTTGACATATGGATATGTCAAAGGAATGGGCAGGTCAAGTTGGAATTTGGTCATGGTTCGATGATTTTTTGGCAGAGTTATGTCCCTTTCACTTTGAAAATAATATAGACACATCTTAGGAATAAGCAGTTTAAGTTTGAATTTGGTCGTGGTTCAATGATTTTGGACAAACTTATCTTTCTTGAATGTTGGAAAAATTTTGAACTTTCAGTTTCAGCACTCATACTTTTGTGGAAATGTATGTAGCCATTATTTTGGCTACAAATATGAAATATGCTATTTTCAAAAGGTTAAGACTGAATAATTTCAGTGCCTTGAACATTGTATGGAAATGGTTTGTGTTAACATTGAAAGTTTTAAGGGCTTTGAACTTAAAATGAAAAAAATAATTTGTGCAAACAAATTTGGAACTAAATATTATAACATCTGAAATTTTGGCTGCATGCGGGGGCATCCGTGGCATGATGACACATTTCTAGTTATATCAAGAACAGTTTATGGTTCTTGCTTATTAATAGGTGTTAAAATTCTGTGGATTATCTATGTTACAGCATTTCTTTATTGATAGGTACCAAAGGATTATTTGTAACAAGGAAATTGATTGCTCTAAAGGGTTTGTTGATTATTGACAACATTCACTGATTGAACTTATGTTTAGAAGTTTGTTTTTCTCGATTGTTTTGTTGTTTGTATATTCTGCTTACTTTCAATTGAATACCTTTGTAACAGGTTTTTAAATGCTTTACTGATGACATTTCATTTATTAATATTCCAATATGAACTAAATTTAATAAATGGTAACACGCAAGTAATTTCTTTCACGACCAAAAATCAATCTTACAGTACAGTAAGAGTAAATGTTTAGTTATGAATTTGTGTCCAGAATGCTCCAAGTCTTATTTCATTCAGAATAAATTTCAGATCACTTTGTGCTAATATAATGCCGGTAAAGATGTCCATTGACACACACATTACTTTTTAAAACAATCGGGAAATTAAGACCACCCCACTATTAAGACCATTTTCCTCCAGAACCACAAGCGGTCTGATTAGTGAGGTTCTACTGTAACATATAATAGGTATCAATAACTGAGTTCAAGACTTAGTGAGGAAGCTGTCTAGCCAGCTTATGGAAGGTTGATGGCTCTATCTATCTTGTGCATGTAAAAAAGTGCATATTATAGGGGTACCTTAGGTCTATCTATGTAAGTAAAAGCTGGGAAGTCACCATTTGACTGTAACATTGTAATGTGAATGTTAACTAAGCAATAGATTATTCTTATCATCAGACAACAGTTTACAAGAATTTACTATGAAAATATCATACAGACAAGTTAGGAAATGCTTAAGATAAAAAATGGCAATCAGTCAAAATAAAATTTTGTTAGCCCTGAACAAGAGTTACGGTAAGCATTATTTGACTGTTATGATTTTATATGACAGGAAACCTACGGGTGTGCAATCTGGGGATCTCACCATGACCTATTCTTCCATATACCAAGATGTGATAGCAGCTACAGATTGTGTTCATGCTAAAAATGTAAGTCATTTATTATATATTATTATATCTGATAAATGTATAGAGACATTAAAAAGACATAATTACCTAGAAAAGCATTGATATGTAAGTACTTGTCCTAAATAGTCTTAGGAATTCATATAGTCTCAAGAATTTATATATTTGAAAATTTTGAATAAAATGCAGAGCTAATTGTTAGCTCAATAGATAGAGCATTGGACATGTCAATATCTAAAGGTTAACCCATTACTTCATATACACGCCTTTTAACGCCTTTTTCACCCCCCCCCCCTTTTTGTTGTCTCAAATGATGAAAAAATGCCTTATTTAGGCCCCAAACACTTGTTTTTGTTTGAGAAATGTTGTTAAAAAAAGTGACCCTTTTTTCGGCGCGGCCCCCCAACCAAAAGATACATCAGGGGGTTGCCAGTTTGGGGGGGTTTGAAGGGGGGCGGAGTCCCCCTCATCGCCAAGAAAATTTTGGACTTGTGAGAGGCTGTAAATGACCCCAGATTGATCATAAGGTAACGTGTAACCAACGCTGAAAAGCATTTGACTCTATCTCAATCCATTGAGAAGTTGCAGCACTTTGAAATCAATTTTGATGGAAAAAATCAACGCAAAATAGTGATTTTTGGCAATTTTGAGATGTCCCCTCGTTGCCATGGTAACAGAAAATTTAAGCCTGAGCATGTTGTTGCAAGGACAATGGTCCAGTCAACATTTGTGCCAAGTTTGATTAGTGTTGAAGCAGTTTTTATAGTATTATAGCAATTTGAACTTGTAACGGGAGACTTTTCAGGGGGTTGCCAGTTTGGGGGGGTTTGAAGGGGGGCGGAGTCCCCCTCATCGCCAAGAAAATTTTGGACTTGTGAGAGGCTGTAAATGACCCCAGATTGATCATAAGGTAACGTGTAACCAACGCTGAAAAGCATTTGACTCTATCTCAATCCATTGAGAAGTTGCAGCACTTTGAAATCAATTTTGATGGAAAAAATCAACGCAAAATAGTGATTTTTGGCAATTTTGAGATGTCCCCTCGTTGCCATGGTAACAGAAAATTTAAGCCTGAGCATGTTGTTGCAAGGACAATGGTCCAGTCAACATTTGTGCCAAGTTTGATTAGTGTTGAAGCAGTTTTTATAGTATTATAGCAATTTGAACTTGTAACGGGAGACTTTTCAATGAAAACAGCCATTTTTCACAAAATGCTCATGAAGCAATGGGTTAAACAAAATGAAGAGCATTTCAGTGAAATTTTGATTTGAGCATTTTCATGTTTAATAATATTTTCAGGGACCTCTGAAGAAAGCTACAATAGAGAATGTAGAGAAATATGTACATAAAGACAGTAGATTACCTATACTATTAGACAGGTAAGACAAGATCCTAAAATGAGCCGCGTCATGACAAAACCAACATAGTGTGTTTGCGACCAGCATGGATCCAGACCAGCCTTCGCTTCGCACAGTCTGATCAGGATCCATGCTGTTCACTTACAAACTCAATAACAAGTAGAGAAGCTGATAGCAAACAGCATGGATCCTGATCAGACTGTGCAGATGGGCAGTCTGATCTGGATCCATGCTGGTCACGAACGCACTGTGTTTGTTTGTCATGTCGTGGCTCAAATATAGTTAATCTACTTGTACCTTGTACTTTATATTTTGTTTCTTCTGAACATAATATTCTATGTTTTTACTGTTTAAAGTCTTTATTTATTTGCTGTTACAATTTTTTTCTGGCAAATCTGATCATCATGATAAAGAATCTTAAGACACAAATATGTTGCAACAAATTAGCTAAAGTTAAATTTAGACCTGCAAACTTTTTAAAACAGTTCACTGGAGATTTTCTTGTTTTTGTAACTTAAGTAAAGGTAATATGCTTTTGTCTGAGGGGCGTCCGTGGCCGAGTGGTTATGGTCGTTGACTTCAAACCACTTGTTCCTCACCGCTGTGGGTTCGAATCCCGACAGGGACTTTGGATTGTCGGTGGTTCTACCCTGGTGCCCATTTGTGCCTGAAATAATGCACGCAAGGGCACCTGAGGTCTTCCTCCACCAGTAAAGCTGGAACGTCGCCAAATGACCTATACTGTGTTGGTGTGTTGTAAAACCCAATCAAACAAACAATCAGCTTTTGTCTGATATGAATTCTTGTTGTCTATCCAGCTAACTTACAGAAGGTCAGTGGTTCTACACAGGTTGTGAAGTTGTGACTGTATTAATGTATAGATGGGCATCTGAGATGTATCTCCAACAGTTATGCTGGAAAACTTCCTGATAACCGTACTGTGCCAGTGTGTCATAAAACCTATCGAAACAAATGGAAAGTTTGGAAAAAAACATTGATGTTGAATCTATGGAGCAAGGTTTTGCTGTTTGTTCCTATGGATCCTAAGGGTTTTATATTACTGTTACAAGTTTTAGCCGTTAGTAAGTGTTGTATTACTGGGAATATAATCAAACTTTACTATGGATCAGAATTAATGTAGACCTGGAGCAACAATTCTACTTATTTTTATGCCCCCGCCATATAATGGCAGGGGCATATAGTGTTACCCTGTTCTGTCATTCCGTCATTCCGTCATTCCGTCTTTCCGTCCTTCCGTCATCATCAGTTTCCGTTCATTATCTTAATAACCCTTGCACATATTGAACTCAAATTTGACATATTGATATGTCATGAGAAAATACAGGTCAAGTTCAAATTTGGTCATGGTTCGATGATTTTTGGCAGAGTTATGCCCCTTTTACATTGAAAATAATATGAAATTTTCAGTTTCCGTTCATTATCTCCCAAACGGTTCAAAACATTCAATTCAAAATTGACATATGGATATGTCATGAGAAAATACAGGTCAAGTTCGAAATTGGTCATGGTTCGATGATTTTTGGCAGAGTTATGCCCCTTTTACATTGAAAATAATATGAAATTTTCAGTTTCCGTTCATTATCTCCCAAACGGTTCAAAACATTCAATTCAAAATTGACATATGGATATGACATGAGAAAATACAGGTCAAGTTCGAAATTGGTCATGGTTCGATGATTTTTGGCAGAGTTATGCCCCTTTTACATTGAAAATAATATGAAATTTTCAGTTTCCGTTCATTATCTCCCAAACGGTTCAAAACATTCAATTCAAAATTGACATATGGATATGTCATGAGAAAATACAGGTCAAGTTCGAAATTGGTCATGGTTCGATGATTTTTGGCAGAGTTATGCCCCTTTTACTTTGAAAATAATATGAAATTTTCAGTTTCCGTTCATTATCTCCCCAACGGTACAACACATTCAACTCAAACGTGACATATTGATATGTCATGAGAAAATACAGGTCAAGTTCAAATTTGGTCATGGTTCGATGATTTTTGGCAGAGTTATGCCCCTTTTACTTTGAAAATAATATGAAATTTTCAGTTTCTGTTCATTATCTCCCCAACGGTACAACACATTCAGCTCAAACGTGACATATTGATATGTCATGAGAAAATACAGGTCAAGTTCAAATTTGGTCATGGTTTATGATTTTTGGCAGAGTTATGCCCCTTTTACTTTGAAAATAATATGAAATTTTCAGTTTCCATTCATTAACTCCCCAATGGTACAACACATTCAACTCAAACTTGACATATGGATACGTCAAAGGAATGCGCAGGTCAAGTTCAAATTTGGTCATGGTTCAATGATTTTTGGCAGAGTTATGCCCCTTTCACTTTGAAAATAATATGAAATTTTCAGTTTCCGTTCATTATCTCCCCAATCGTACAACACATTTAGCTCAAACTTGACATATCGATACGTCAAAGGAATGCGCAGGTCAAGTTCAAATTTGGTCATGGTTCGATGATTTTTGGCAGAGTTATGCCCCTTTTACTTTGAAAATAATATGAAATTTTCAGTTTCTGTTTATTATCTCCCCAACAGTATTAAACATTCAACTCAAATTTGACATATTGATACGTCAAAGGAATGCGCAGGTCAATTTCAAATTTGGTCATGGTTCGATGATTTTTGGCAGAGTTATGCCCCTTTCACTTTAGAAATAATATGAAATTTTCAGTTTCCGTTTATTATCTCCCCAACAATATTACACATTCAACTCAAATTTGACATATGGATATGATTTTGGAATGCGCAGACCAAGTTCGAATCTGGTCATGGTTCAATGATTTTTGGCAGAGTAATGCCCCTTTCACTTTGAAAATAATATGAAATTTACAGTTTCTGTTTATTATCAACCCAACAGTGTTACATATTCAACTCAAAATTGACATATGGATATGTCAAAGGAATGCGCAGGTCAAGTTGGAATTTGGTCATGGTTCGATGATTTTTTGGCAGAGTTATGTCCCTTTCACTTTGAAAATAATATAGATACATCTTAGGAATAAGCAGTTTAAGTTTGAATTTGGTCGTGGTTCAATGATTTTAGACAAACTTATCTTTCCTGAATGTTGGAAAAATTTTGAACTTTCAGTTTCAGCACTCATACTTTTGTGGAAATGTATATAGCCATTATGTTGGCTACAAATATGCAATATGCTATTTTTAAAAGGTTAAGACTGAATTATAATTTCAGTGCCTTGAACATTGTATAAAAATGGTTTGTGTTAACATTGAAAAGTTTTAAGGGCTTTGAACTTAGAATGAAAAAAATAATTTGTGCAAACAAATTTGGAACTAAATATTATAACATTTGAAATTTTGGCTGCATGCGGGGGCATCCGTGGCATGATGACACATTTCTAGTTTATCATTGCCTACATAAATGTTCTTTATTCATTCCAGAATGCGTCATCATGGTTCAAAAATTTTCCTTGCAACAAACAGTGATTATGTATACACAAATGTGAGTACAACAATATTGTTCTTTTGATATTTTTGAAAACATAAGTGTCATATAAGTATAAGATATCAGATGTGCACAAGATATTTGAGCCACGCCATAACAAAACCAACATAATGGGTTTGCGACAAGCATGGATCCAGACCAGCATGCGCATCCGTGCAGTCTGATCAGTATCCATGCTGTTCGCTTACAAACCCTATAACAAGTAGAGAAACTGATAGCGAACAGCATGGAATGCGATCAGACAGCACCAATGCGCAGGCTGGTCTGGATCCATGCTGGTCACAAACCCATTATGTTGGTTTTGTCATGGCACGGCTCATTTCAAGTCTCTCTATTATCAAAGGGATTTAATTAAAGTAGATTTTCATGTGAAAAATGTTTTTTATTTTCAGGCTGTTATGAAGTTTTTAATGGATGATCCAAATGCAGTAAGTATTTCTTTATATGTACACATTTTTAGCTCGACTATTTGCAGAATAATAAAGCTAATGCAGTCACACATTTGTCGGTGTCTGCGTCCCTGTAGTTAAGTTTTTGTGTGTAAGCTGGTATCTCCATAACTACTGTAGAGAATGGATTGAAACTTCACACACTTGTTCTCTGTGATTATCTAACATGATTAGCACAAGTCCCATAACTCTGATTTGATTTTTTGCATAATTATGCCCCTTTTTCAACTTAGAAATTCTTGGTTAAGTTTTTGCATGTAACTGAATGGTTTGTGCCGTTTTTGGGACAATTTTATGCATTCATAATAATAAAGCAGTGATTTACTTGATAAAACATCTTAATAACAAGCCTTTGTACCTTTTCGGACAATTTTATGTATTCATATAGGTAAGCATAATTATACTTGATGTAACACCTTTGTGACAACTTATCGAATAGTCGAGCGTTACTGTCCTCCGACAGTTCTTGTTCATATTCGTATTGTTATATGTTGTCACTACAATGTATATCAATGATATACATGTACCGTGAAATAAGTTAACGTTACCAGTTTTCCAGTCATCTTGTAACTCTTGTTACACATATTGAGTGTTTCTGGATTCTGTATCAGACCAAATCTGTTTTATTTACTAAAATTACTGCCTAATGTTTCCATATAAATCATTTAAAAAATAACACTGAATGATGAATTGCAATATATTAAGTGTTGCTAACTACATTGTCATGAAAAACTTGAACTGCGTCGGGTTTAAACTGAAAAGTATGTGGGCATTAGACCTTACACTTTAAGAATGAATTCATGTACAACATATTATAGATTCATGAAGTTTTCCGACATATTTAAGGGGATTCATCATCATCATCATCATCATCATTATCATCATCATCATCATCTTCAGTAATCACCTCACTCTTCATAGAGCATAATAAATGATTAAAATTGCTTATCTTTCATTACTTGCCCTCTGTTTCAATCCTGCTATAAACTTTGTATTATTTTTTCTATGTCAAGACGCTACTTAACTGAGAGCTGTTATTCACAGGTTCCGCTGGGAATGGCAAAATCATTATTATTCTGCGAGGAACTAATTTTGTGGATAGGTCAATCCACAAATTTAAGATCCATTGAAATTTCATTATGTCTGCTGTAAGATTATTTTGCATCAAATTATTTACATTTTACCTTCTGAAAAAAAAATTTCATGCTCATGAAATTAAGTGAATTCACAGTATATCATAATGAACTAAGGGGCATCTGACCAGTTAAGCTGGAAAGTTGTCATTTAACTTCTACTGTGGTGAAATCTAACCAAGAAAGAAAAATTGCTCTTTTTTTTCAGAAGGCTGATTCCAAGAGAGATTGGGTGTCTTACTTTGATTATGTTGTTTGTGATGCTAGGAAACCATTGTTCTTTGGTGTAGGAACAATTCTTAGACAAGTTGATAGGGTAAGAACAATAAACATTTTAACTATTTCATTTGGTACTGCTTGACAGTCTGCCCAGAAACAATGCAGTGGCTGAACTGTGCTCTGGTAAGTTTAGTGCGGCTTACTGAACTTGAAAACCAACAAACAAAAGTAAACTGCTTCATGCTGCTCTGAGTTTTCAACAACTTTAGTTGTCATCATCACAGACCTCTGCTATGACTGTTGGTCATGCAGTTTTAATATTACTTTTGGTCATTTCCTTCTTTAAAGCTGGAATAATGCAACAGAGTAAGGGGAATTAAAAGATATGCAAAGTACTAAAGAGACCTACATTAATATGTATTTATTCAGAGAATTTATGTTTGAAACATTTTAAAACTTCATTAAGTAAGTTATATTAGCTTAAGTATAATTAAATGGCTTAAATCTGTTTGGGTATTTCTTCTCTTGTTTTATAAAGTAATAAATTATACTGATAGTTTAAAGTAAATAAGTGTAACAAACAAATTTTAATCTTTTATTTTTATGTAAACAAATATGAGCCGCGCCATGACAAAACCAATGTAATATGTTTGCGACCTGCATGGATCCAGACCAGTCTGCGCATCTAAATAATAAAAAAAACTATAAAAAAAACTGAAACAATAAAAAAATAAGAATATTATTTGAGCCGTGTCATAACAAAACCAACATAGTGGGTTTGAGGCCAGCATGGATCCAGACCAGCCTACGCATCCGCACAGTCTGATCAGGATCCATGCTGTTTGCTTATAAACCCTATTACAAGTACAGAAACTGATAGCAAACAGCATGGATCCTGATTCGACTGCGCGGATGCTCAGGCTGGTCTGGATCCATGCTGGTCGCAAATGCACTATGTTGGTTTTTTCGTGACGCGGCTTATATTTTTATAAAACATGACTTGTATTTTAGGAGACTGGTGCTTTGAAGTTAGGTACACATACGGGTGAAATCAGATCTGGTCATATCTACTCAGGAGGTATTCTATCAAATTTTGTTCTGATTTATTGATTTGTTTAGCTGATAGGGAGTTGTAGATTCTTTTATACAGTATACAATTTGCCCCCTAATTTGTTTTGATTTACCACCTAAAACATTTTTCGCTTGTGTTAAATTTCCCATATACATTTAATAGAATGAATTTCAAGGAGAAATGGACCTTTCCGGTGTTTACAGTTTTATGTAAATTGGCTAACTTGTTATCCAATCGCTACTCTGAGATAATACATAGTCACTGGTTGACCTGGCTTGCACAAAAAAGCCCCTGCTTATGTTTGTGATACTGTTTATGAGCAGTTGACCTAGCAATGAATGGAAAAGGTGTGGCTAAATGTTCCGCTACGAAAAACCGGAAAGGTCCATAGAGCTCAACGTTATTATTTTCAAGTAGACAAAAATAATTAAAAATGTGTTCTGTAATATCATTTTTATGAGAATACTTTGTTTAAAACATGCTGTAATTTTTCACTTTATTTAAAAAGAATGGGTTGGTGCCAAAAAAAAAACAACAAGGCAGAACTATTACTGAAGTAGAACTTCCATAGGTCGAATTTGAAGGGACTTGGGTAAAAACTTCAACACATTGGGACCTCGACGCATGAATCAGTCTCACTTTAATGACAAAATTTAGATTCATTTATGTTAACAAGCAAGTTACAAAAGGCATAATAAGAGAAAAGGGTGATAACTTATCCCAGCATATAGAAAATATATCCTGAGTGATAATCATGCAACACAGGGTCACGGAAGTTATGAAGTAAAAGTACTTCTTACAGTTTACTTTCAAATGCACCACGGCAATTTGAATGGTTACAATTAAAACATTTTATCACACAAATAAATGCATATAAATGCTGTTGGACACACAGTTGTGTAATTAATACCTGTCACACAAGTTGTTCGTAAATCATCTTCAAGGTCAGAAAAGGTGTGGAAAAGTCTCGGGATTGAAGTGTTAAAATAATTGAAGGACTTCAACTTATTTGTGGTAAATTGAACTCGATTTTTTCTATACAGACCATGAAAAAAATTCGACACATTGAAAAATTTGACATATAAATTTCGACTCACATATAGGTATTTATAAGGAATATTAAGGGGAAAAATCGGGACTTTCATTTTACCTCGACACATCGAGAAAATTGACTTATCTATGTTTGACTAATAGAAGTTCTACTGTATTATATATAATTATTATATTACAGGATCTGTGGAAGTGTTCTCTGAGATCATGGGTTCCTATGATAAAGAAGTTCTCTATATTGGTGATCACATCTTTGGTGATATTCTCAAGTCTAAAAAATTAAAGGTATTTACTCACACATTTCTCACCCATTTTATAACAGAAACTGATTTGGTCTTAAATAATTGTTAGAATCACTGACACCTTGTGTAGCTTCATTACTAAATTGATTGAATTCATTCTCACAAACCTATGTGTTATTTATTTACTGACATCAGATTTGATGGATAAAACCAAATGACGTCCTTTCTCCATTCAATAAAGTTCAACAAATTTATGATTGATTGGCATTGTAAGATTGGAATATTAAATAAATTTTCCTGCATGTTATAGTACAATTATCATGTTAATTATTTCCTGTATATAGGGTTGGCGAACATTCCTCGTGGTTCCAGAGCTGGCTCAGGAACTTCTGGTTTGGACAGAGAAACGAGCCCTCTACTCTAAACTTGAGGATCTAGACTTCCAAATAGGAGAACTTTACAGGTAATCTATCATAGTTTATGTCTCATGGTGTGATCAATTTTTAACGTGTGCAACAAATTAAGTGGACAAAATAGATTTAATTCAATTTTTTGTACATTCTCACTAAAGTTCAGATCTACTTACTTCTTTTATGTAGATCTGAAGATGACCGTATATGTTCCGCTTTCTTTATAATTCGGATTTACCAAGAAAGCTATATTTAGCCATGCAATCAAACCAGCTTTTACACAGGCATTGGAAGAACTATCAAAATACTGAAAAAAAATGTTTGAAGTAATTTTTAACAAATTCACTTGAAATAATAGTCAATTTTTAATGGGCAAGATTATTTTGCCAGTTTCCCAGTCGGCTATATGGACAACGCCATGTTCTCGAAATCCTGAAAACTACCTACACAGTATTGGTTTTGCCAGGGTTAAAATTAGAAAACACATCGATTTTTAAATTATGAAAGCTCGCCAATGATTGGCTGTGTGAAACTTCACAAGAAATGATTTTGTATTGGGTCACGGTCAGATCTAAAAGCGGAGTGTTATTTAGAGCTGATTTTAATCGGCATGTTTTTTGAAACTCTGAATATTTGATTTCTTCAGATGTCTAAGTTTTTCCTTTTGTTACTTTCACCATGAAATTTGATTGACTAAACAATTATTTTGATTTCAGAAATTTAGACAGTACATGCGAGAAAGGACCAGATATTAGCAAAATACACCAGAAAATAAAGGTAACATTTAATGATTATAATTATATGAATTAGTTTCAATTATTACATTGATTACAAGTTTCTGATATGGCTTAACTAAAAAATAAACAACTAAATCAATACATCGTTTAATTGAATTATGTATCCATGTGTTGGGAAAATTTAATCATCAAACTACACATTAAGACTTGTCACATATTTCAGAATGTCATAATGTTATGTGTATCAGAATCCCACACATGTATTTCATTAATGTCACACATGTACTTCATTCATGTCACATATATATTTTATTAATGTCACACATGTATTTCATTCATGTCACACACATACTTCATTAATGTCACATATGTATTTTATTAATGTCACACATGTATTTTAGAATGTCACATATTTCAGGATGTCACAAATATTTTTCAGAATGTCACATAATTCATAATGTCATGCCTGTATTTCAGAATGTCACATATTTTATAATGTCATGTTTATTATTAAGAATGTCACATATTTTATAATGTCATGCTTATTATTAAGAATATCACATATTTCATGTCAATCTTATGTTTCAGAATCTAATGCTTATGTTTTAGAATGTCACATATTTAGTAATGTCACACTTATATTTCAGAATACCACACATGAGATGGATATGTCATATGGTATCATAGGAAGTCTGTTTAGAAGTGGTAAGTCAAACTTTAAAAGCTACACACAAAAAGTGGACACATTATGTGAATATACTGTCATTATTAAAACTGGCAGTTTTTTTTTTTAAAGAAAGTACCAGATTTACTTGACCTGTAATAAGGAACGCAGATACCTATACATAATTAGTATGTTATTTTATTTCAATCAAACATATTTAGTAGGAATTTTATAGATTTTAATATATGTCTGCAATAAAAATATTTTACTCAAAGATGAGCATAGTGTTTCTTTAACCTGTTTTGCCATTGTTATTCTTATATTATGATATTGTTACATTATACATAAGTTGCGATACAGCTTTTTTTAATGATGATTTTATATGGGATAATTGTGATGTTTATGTTAACTGAACAAATTGGCAAAATGTCTGACTTTATTTCTGTATTAATGAAAGTGAGCAGTTCTGCACCATAATAAATTATAAAGACCTTTGACATGTAATATGGCCATGCAAAACAGTTGTATGCTATATTACCATTTAACACTGGGACATATAACCTGTCAAAAGTCTTAATTACCAATATTCTGAAGGATAAATGGTGTGGAATGGGAACATTATGATTTATTGTATCATGCATTATATTTTCTTCCATATATTCTAATGTTTGATGAATTATTTATATAACATGTACATAAACAAATCCCATTGTTTCATTAGTATCATGATTGAAGTATAATGAATATGTTAATTTTTTTCATTTGGAAAATAATATAGTTTGTATATATCATAGCCTCTAGATTTATAACAAATCTATACAAAAAAAGCAAAGCTCATGATTTAAAAGATTATTTCATCACATTTATTATTACAAAGTTGACACAGCTGTTATCATAAGAAAATATTTGTTTTCAACACCATAGCATTTTGAATGCTTTATTTTCATGATTTTATCCTGTTCTGAACATGTTTATCTTTACATAAAGCTTGTTATTTACATTTGATCCTGAATGTAATATTTGCATCCTATAATAACAAAACAGTTTGGTATTTGGAATACCTGTTCTATTAACATTTTACCCATGAATGGCTTTTTTTCTAACCTTTGACCTTTAACCCGTGTGCAGGGAGTCGGTTCTGGGACCCTGATGTGGAGATTTATGGTAAGAGAGAATGCCAGCACACCTGCTTGAGTCTGATTCTTGCATTGTCCGATCTTTGCGTTTGTCCGGGCCTTGCATTTTTCTGAGTCTTGCAATAATCCGAGCTTTGCATTTGTTCAAGCAATGTTTGTCCCAGCCCTGTAGTTGGCCGATCCTTGCATTTGTCAGATCCATGCATTTGTCAGATTCTTGCATTTGTTCCAGCCTTGTATTTGTTAGAGCATATGTTTATTTAAATGTATGCCTGTCTGAAGTATGATATAATGGCTGTACATATTGTATTTGTAGTTGGGTTACCCAGATTAGTGTCACTTAATGCATACAGGATTAATTTATAATCAAGAATTATTGCTAGTTGGAATAGAGGTCCCCGTGGAATAAAACAACCCATGAAAATCTTATGTATTGGTGTACACTTCCTGAATTATTCATTTATATTAATCTAACACATGCAACACATATAAGTGGTTTCATGCTTTTTTAATGGTTTTACTTTATTTTCAATAATTTAACTTTATTTTCAATGGTTTTACTTTATATTTGATGATTTTACTTTATTTTCAATGGTTTTACTTTAAATGCTTTTTGCAGCATAACACCTTGCTATCTTTCTGGTTTTGTCATCAAAATAATTATAATAATGATGATGTCACTATTTTACTATTGAAAAGTAAGGTTTTTTTTTTATATTTCAACATATGAAAAGTGCTTGCAATTGTCACTGAATTTTTCACATTTGATATTTATTTGATAAATGTGATAAAAGCTTTTCTTTGACATTCAAATATCTGTATAGTGATGATACAGTAAATTTTAGTTTGATATTTTCACTGTACACTGTGATGATATTAATATGTATTTCACTGTGATATTTCTGAAATCTTTTAATAAGCATGTATTATTTATAATAATAACCAGGATATATTGCTAGTTAGTGCATGTAATACTGTTAAAGGAGACATCTTTAAACAGGTCATTTTGAAATAGTAAGCATTGTTTTGTTAGTATATAATTATCTCTCAAATATGAATAATATTAATAACATAACATTGGAGAAAAAAATGGGAAAAAAATAGGATTTTGTTATTTATAGAGTAGATTGACATGTGACTGCATTTAAAATTGAAAAATAAATTCATTTTGTTCTACAGTGATATTGCATTTTGTCACTTCATGTTTATGGAATGATATTGCATTGTGTTATATCATCATTGTTAGTCCCCTACCGGTTTACCGGAGGGGACTTTAGGTTTACCCTCCGTCCGTCTGTCCGTCTGTCCGTCCGTCCGTCCGTCAGTCCGTCTGTCCGTCCGTCAGTCCGTCCGTCCACAAAACTGGATCCCGCGATAACACAAAAAGTACTGAAAATATTTTAATGAAACTTGATATATGGATAGATGGCAGTATGGAGATTATGCACGTCTTTTTCTTTTCTTCCTATGTTGAAAATTCTGGTTGCTATGGCAACAAATAGACTGAAAATATGGCAAATTTTACACATAACCTGGATCCCGCAATAACGCAAAAAGTACTGAAAATATTTTTATGAAACTTGATATATGGATAGATGGCAGTATGGAGATTATGCACGTCTTTTTCTTTTCTTCCTATGTTGAAAATTCTGGTTGCTATGGCAACAAATAGACTGAAAATATGGCAAATTTTACACATAACCTGGATCCAGTGATAACACAAAAAGTACTGAAAATATGTTTATGAAACTTGACATATGGGTATATGGCAGTATGGAAATTATGCACATCCTTTTCTTATCTTCCTATGTTGAAAATTCTGGTTGCTATGGCAACAAATAGACTGAATTTCAAGATTTCTGATTCTAGTTTTTAAGTTTTTTCACTATAAGTTCTTTATTTCTTAAGGTATTTTCTTCAAACTTTAAATATAAGTTGCTTGTAATCAACCACATCATATGTGACAAGGTTTACAACTCTAGCACAAAATTTATCAGAATTACCTCCCTTGAACTTAAAATTTTCATGAAAAAAACATTGTTTTTTTTTAATAACTTCTTTTTCTGAATGTATCTACTTCAAACTTCATATAAATGTTTCTTATTATCACTCAACATTTGTGAGTGTTCAATACTCTAGCAAGACTATTTCCAGAATTATGCCCCTTTTGAACTTGGATTTTTTTTTTGAGAAATTGGTAATTTTTACTCCAACTTCTTCAATCATGATAGGATTTTAAAAATGTTATATTTTGATAACAGGGATGTTTAAAAAAATAACTTTAGAGTGTCCTTCAGTCCATCTGTCTGTACATAAAAACTGTTTCCTGTGATCACTTTTAAAGAACTTTTTCAACAAATTTACTTAAAATAGGAACATAAGTGAATGGCCAATGGCCCTTCAGAATGTTGCTTGGGCTCTTACCGGTAGGGGACTTATGGATTGCTTGCAATACTATGATAATTGCTTGTTTTACATGGAATGATTTTGCACTATGCTATATTTCATCAATGATATTTCATTGTGCTATATTTCATAATCATTTTACATAAAATGATATTGCATTGTGTTATATCATTATTGTTTTACATAGAATGATATTGCATTATGCTATATTTTCATCATTGTTTTACATGAAATGATATTTCATTGTTCTATATTTCATAATCATTTTACATAAAATGATATTGAATTGTGTTATTTCATCATCATTTTGCATGAAATGATTTTGAATTATTCTTTTTCATCATCATTTTACATGAAATGATATTGAATTGTGTTATTTCATCATCATTTTTATATGAAATGATATTGCATTGTGATATCATCATTTTACATGAAAATCATGTTACATGAAATGATTTTAAATTGTTCTTTTTCATCATCATTTTACATGAAATGATATTGAATTGTATTATTATATCCCCTTTTTGAATTAAATGATTTTGAATTGTTCTATTTCATCATCATTTTCATGAAATGATATTGAATTGTGTTATTTCATCACCATTTTACATAAAATGGTTGTGAATTGTTCTATTTCATCATCATTTTACATAAAATGATATTGAATTGTGTATTATATATATTAATTATATATGGCATTGTATACCAAGTATCAAGTCAATCAGAATTCAAGAAATTTTGTTTGCATTATTATAAGAAACAATATTGCACAAAGATTTTGCTTCAGGTTATTTCCACATCATATAATTTGCAATATTTTTGCACTAAGTAGCTTGCTTAACATATTTTATAAAGTGGTAATGCATAGTGTCATTTTTACAGCAGCTTATATGAAATGTTATTGCACATTATGATTTTAGTATTATTTCTACAACAGATTTTATTATTTAAATTAGAAACCTTAATACTTTGTTCTGCTTTTTCCTCCATGATTAATTTGAAGTCATTTCGCAATTTATTATTTTTCCGCATTAAATGATGATCTTCATTAGTTGTTGTTTAGATTATACTTAGTAAAACTGTATTGCATCATGCTATATTCACATCATAGTACATGTATTTATAAATTATTTTGTATAGTTTAAGTAATTAATTGGTTGATTGATAATGCTCTTACATCAATGACATATTGTATACAGCATTTGTTACTACAATAGATCTGCTTTTGTTCTAAAATATTAAGGATTTCTTACAGTATTTACCTGATGAACAAATGTTAGAATGGAACCAACCATCTCTCAGCAAAGACCTTATTGTTGAATATTGGTCTTCCAAGACAAGTTTGACTGTATAGAAGGAAAGGAGTGAAATGACCTAATTATGAAATGGATTCATCCACTATTACCTATTACTAGTTCCACCACAAGAATGACCACATACAAATGTACATTGTATATAAGTACACAACATGAATATTAAACTTTATTTTTAAAATGGTTTTCTTTTGATTTAGTTTATTATTTGCACCAAATGAAATATTTATATTTATTTCAGGATCTCGGCAGACGTTTTTCGCATCACAGGTGATGAGATACGCAGATTTATACGCAGCCTCGTTCCTCAATCTCCTTCACTATCCCTTCAGTTACGTGTTCAGAGCCCCTGCAATGCTGGTATGTACTAATTTCTGTATTCATGTAAAATCATGATATTTTGTGATATTTTCATGTGTACTGATTCATTCAATTAATGCTTTTAATTGTTTATAACTTCTTTTCTAAAAAGAATTTTCATCTTTTTAATGTTGGCATTATATCACTTTAAAAAGGCCAAAACATAAAAAGCAATGTATTAAGCTAACCATCTCTGCTTACGTTGTGAGTAATTGGTTAATAAGGCTATTCTTACATGAGAAAATGTTCATTGAACTTACTGTCAGTCTATTTCTTGTTATGTTTGATGTTTCAGATGGTGTTAAATATTGTGTAGTTGATTGTTATCTTTTACTGTCAAGTTTAATGCATTATTTCATGACATATTTTACAGATGCCCCATGAATCAACTGTTGGACACGAAGATGTTTTGCCACACAATGACATTATTGCATCACGATCACGAACCAGTAATGACAATTCGCCTATTCTCTCTCCAATTGTCACGGGTAAACGACACCCGCTGGAGCGGACAGAGCCGATAAAGGAAAGTGTGCGGAGATACGCAGACACACCACGTCAGTTCACGCAGGTTCAGGACGATGACAGCGACGGGTCTAAAGATAGCGACAGAGAGGGGAAAGAATTGACTCCACCAAATGAAAGCCAGGAACCAGAATCAGTGTTCACATAGTGTAAAAAAATGTTGAACTTATCGATAGAAAAAATAAGGTTGTGTTGTTAAGAACAAAATTTAAGAAATTTTTATGAATGTATGAACATAACTATATGATACAATATCATGTCATGGGTGAATGGATAGAGAATAGGTTGCATGTTTTTGAATGGTAAACTAATTCAATTCACCAAAGATTTTTACAATACAAGATTTGTTCTTTATTGATTACAGAATAATACTTTGTAGATAGATTGATAGAAATTAACACATAATTCATATATAAGAAATTAACATCATCATTTAGTTAATGTTATGTGAAATGTGTTTATGTTGGGAACATTATTCTGTCAACAATCATAATCAACATTTAACTTAATCTCATCTTAACCAATCATCTGCAGTTTAATAATACATCTATAACAAGACCTTTATATCTTTACAAACTCTATAAAGTAATTCTAGTTAAGGAATTTATACCTGAAATTCCTAAAACTGCTAATTGACTCTTTCAAATTTCAAAGCAAGGCTAGTCTATTACACAGAATAAGCAGGGTAAAGCTTAAAGTTTCATTCCATAACTCCATGTGGAATTTTGTATAAATATATACAGCTTACTAACTAGATTGTTTGATTTATTTGCTTGTACTTGCATAATTATTCATACACTTAAAAATGCTTTCTTTAATTATTATTTCCTACAAATAAAAGACAATTGATACATCAAAGAAAGCAAATTCCTACAATTAAGAAAATAATTCTTACTTCAAAAATAACATAATTTGAACACTTCAAAAATTATTTCCACTCTTTAAAAATTAATTCCAACAAATAAATATTATGTAACAAACCTAATTTCTACTTATATTTATACATGTATGTATATTACATAAGAATTTATTTTTTTCAGGTATTTTTGAAATTCTATGTAATTTAAATGAATATTCATGTAACATTACTGATAGAACTTAAGAAATGTACATGTGAGGAGTATTCCCCTTAAAAAATATTTTTTATGTAAAATTTGAGGACCATATATTAATCAAGCAATTGATATATGTAAAAGGGAAGGTTTTAACTGAGTGCAACAATTACACATATTTTGTAATAAGTATGGAATGCCACTAAATGGTATAGCACTTTTGATGTTTTAGATTTAAGAACATGTATTATAATAATTTGATCATATCATAATAAATGTGTTCACTGTTTTAGATTACATTTCTAAAAAATTTGTCTTAGCAATAAAACATGTCGTAATGAATCATCCCTGTCAACATAATACGATTAAGGACAATATTGAAATTTTCTACAAGTAACAACAATAATAACTTGTCTATGTAACCATGTAAGATTCAGGTTAACCAGCTTATCAATGCATTCTGACCTTACTACTGTCAAGTTAATTAACACCAAAACCCATTCAAATAAGAATGGACTGTTCCATATTCCAAAAGGGGAAAGTCTATTTATAAGAGTTATGGGAGGGTTAAGATATATGTTATATGTGGTATGTAAACTTTGTGCAATGTGATATTAGATTATATGTTCACATATCAGGAAATACACTGCTGTTATTGTTAAATGTTTGCATTTAAACCCTTAACCTGCTACATTTCTTAAAACTTTTCCAGATTCCGTTTTGGAGTTATCCAGCTTCTATTGTTAGAGCTATCCAGCTATTATTTTTAGAGTTATCCAGCTTCTTTTTTGGAGTTTTCCAGCTTTTTTTAGAGTTGTCCAGCTTCTATTTTGGAGTTGTCCAGTCTTTTTTCTTTTTTGGTGTTGTCCAGCATCCATTGTTGGAGTTGTCCAACATCCATTGTTGGAGTTGTCCAGCTTCTTTTTTTGAATTGTCCAGCTTTCATTTTTGGAGTTGTGTAGCTTTCATTATTGGAGTTGTCCAGCTTCTATTTTTGGAGTTGTCCAGCTTCTTTTTTTGGAGTTGTTCAGCTTCCATTTTGGAGTTCTCAATTGGTATCAAGATGAAAATTGAAGTGAAAATGAAGTTGGTCAGCCTACAGTATAAATCTTGGTCAGTCTGCACAGATGTCTAGGCTAGTCTGATGCTATACTGGTGGCAAAGGCTGGTCACCTTTGGTTCTAGCAGGTTGAGGGTTAAATGCTTACATTATAAGACATTTTTGTTATGGCTTTATTTTTCTATTGTTTAAGATAAATCAGTATTGTTGCTGTTAGTATGGGGCCAGTAATTCATTATTTCTTATATCATCACTCAGCAAGGCTTTGTGCCATAGTGTTTGTTTCTTTGTTTCCGTTGCAGAAATAACAAAAATGCAGTTCATTACTAACTAAAGCAAAACTGAACAAATGTCTGTTTCTAGTTTTCCTTTTTAGGATTTTTTTATTGCTTTGGAAAACAGTACTAATGTGAATTACTAAGAAAATAGCTATATAAACATATTGGTACTTTAATTGCTGATTAATAAGGGAAAAGTTGAAGTACATCTACTTTCATGTAAAAAAATTTTCAGGTAGGATATTGGAAACAGGCATTTGTCAAAACATGCTTTATCCGTCAAATGTTTGTTTTCATTTGCATAACATTATATTTTTTTATTCTACCTAATTGCCATAGCCTAACTGTATTATCTCCCTGCTATAAGTTAACCATATGTAATAATATATCATCCAATAAAATCTGCAGTTTCTTTTTATAGATATCTACCTACTGATAATATGTGTTAATAACTTTTTGAAATGAATATAACATTACATGTACCTGGTGGTCAATTTAAGCATATGTACATTGATGTGATTTTAAAACTATGATACACAAAAGATAAATATAACAGAACTGTCATGTTTTTCACAGAATCAATATTTTATTGTCTTATTTATACATGGCATACTTTTTGACCTTTTAATTTCTGTTACACATAATGTTACAAATATGTATATGTTAGTTCAGCCTTGAAGTGTTCCCATATAAAATCAGGAATCTGTATGTGGCATTATTTTGGTATGAATTATGCTTGTTGTGTTCTTGTATTCAATTATTGTTGTTTTAGTTACCTCCCTTGTTCCTAATTGATCAGATTAATTATATGGATGTATCATGTGATGTGGCCTGTTAACCAGTCAGAATTTTGGTCTTGACTTGCCAATGAAAATGCTTTGTCCTGTGTAGCCAATGAAAATGCTTGTTCTTTATTAAATAATAGAAATGCTTTCTCAATATTAAAAAATGAAAATGCCCTGTACTGTGTTAGCGAATGAAATTGCTCATCAGATATGAACCAATAAATATGACTGTACTTTATGAACCTGTGTACCAATGAAAATGCCTGTTCTATATGAACCAATAAAAATATCTGTCAGAGACATCAAATGAAAATGTCTGTTTTATGCCTTTGCATGTATTGCTTTAGCAATTATGACTAATGCTTAAAATTGTTTCAGTGTTTAAGCTGTCAACTTCTCAGTCTTACATATAATACCAGCAATGTTAAGTACTGTACTTTGATTTATAAAAGCTGAATTCAGCAATGAATTTTAGAAATGTTTAATGTACATCAGTCTTGTAAAAGTTATTTTGCGCAGGGTAAACATGTATAAAGCATGTTACCAAACTTTGTTAAAACTTCTTAGATGTGTTTTAATATATTTGTACTAGCCAGATAATCAAGCCAAAAAGGTGTCAAATTTGTTTGTTGAACTTTTCATTTTAAATGATGTCACTATTACATAGGGTTGTTCACATTATATGTTATATATTAATACATGTGTTTTATAAAATCATACAAAATCATACATTATGGGTTTATTGCATTGATAACAAGGGATCTCAAATGGTACATGGAATTCTTCCTGAATTTTTGTATGAATACTGGCACGAGGAAAAAAATGAACACAAAATTGGACAAGACTCTCATTTTAATGAACATCAAAATTATGACATCTGTGTGTCTGTTCTCAACTAATTCTTTATAACAGTTTAATATACCCACCACAGTATGAGACAAACATTTGTAACATAAGTTATTTCAAAGTCTATTTTATTTGCTACAGCATTAATGCGGGGAGAGATTTAAGTGCAAGTAAAAATTGTTGAAATTGACCGATACCCATTAAATTATGTTGTGTGTGTGTCTGTTCTCAATCCATGGATGTTAATTTATTATACCCTTCCGTGTGTCTGACAAGATTATGTTTACTTCTTAGTTCTAGTATTTTGATTTTCTATAACATTGAAAATATTTTTTAAAAACTTGAGGAACTCGTCACAATTTTAAACAGTTGGTTTCTGAGTTTCGGTATTTTGTTGTTAGGTTACAGTTACATATCATTGTATAGATAGAAAGATAGCATGGTAGAATTTATTTAAACTTTGCATGATCTTAGAATCTATGATAACAGAAGGCATTGTAAAGCAAAAATGAATGTGGGTCACCAAGTTGTTATCTGCTTATAAATTAAAAAAAAGGATTAACATTGCAGATCCAAATTTGATGAGATATTGTTTAATATTATGTAGGGGAAAGAAATTGCAAGAAAAATTTTAATATCCACCCAGTTTGTAATCTTAGCATGAATGTAAGCACCTTTACCGTTACCCTGACCTTAATAATGATACAGTATAACAAGGCACAGCCTATTGGCAATTATGGGAACAATAAATTTTGTCAGTATTTTCATTTGAATTCAGTTGAATTGAGTTTTTTTTACATCATTGTTGTATTGTGTAAACTTGTTCAAGATTTTGGTGGTGGGAAAAAGGAATATAGCCAGTTTTATGATGATGGTGATGATCATGTGTAAAGTTAAATGATTTTTGTTAGAGGTCATGGTTCATTAATTTTGATAAATATACATATTTATATAGGACATGATAATCGGATATGTAAATAATAATTAATTATCATTGTAGTTATCATTGTTGTTGTTGATTTAGTTGTTGTTTTTTGATGGTGTATGAATGTACTTTTTTTGTTATGAGTCAATCATAAATTTATACTTGTATTAAAATTATTTTTAACATGTATTAATTGATAGAGTCACAAATATTTGGCTGGGTGGTTAACATGTCAGACTAGTAATCTAAAGATCTCTATCCATGTGGGTTTAAACCCCATCAAGGGAGGGCCATTGTTTCCTTGAGCAAGAAACATTACACTCATTGCTTAGTGGTGATTGGTTCCAGGAACAGATTTGAGAGTTTGTCTGTGAGCTTTAAGCTTCCTCACGATCAAATTAAAACAAATTCTATATTTTAATTATAATGACTTCAAATGTTGCCATATATCTGGAATTCCATATTTTTATTTACTGTTTTAAATTATTCAACTCTTTTTTTTTTTAGCTCACCTGTCACTTTGTGACAGGGTGAGCTTTTGTGATCGCTTTTCGTCCGGCGTCCGTAAATTTTTACTTTAAATGACATCTCCTCATAAACCACTAAGCCAATTTCAACCAAACTTCACAGGAATGTTCCTTTGGTGGTCACCTTTGAAAATTGTTCAAAGAATTTAATTATACCCCCACCACAAAATGTGGGGGGGGCTATAATGGATTCGCTTTGTCGCGTCGGTCCGTCCGTCGGTCGGTCGGTCCGTCTCCATTTTTGTGTCCGCTCTATAACTCCTATACCAATTGAAGGATTTTCTTCAAACTTGGCTCAAATGTTCACCTCAACAAGGGGATGTGCAGAACCCATGTTGCCCATGTGTCAGCTCAAGGTCAAGGTCACAATTGAAGGTCAAATATCAAACAATCAAATATTACACAGTATGTCGTGTCCGCTCTGTAAGTCCTACACTAATTGAAAGATTTTCTTCAAACTTGGCTCAAATGTTCACCTCAACAAGAGGATGTGCAGAACCCATGTAGCCCATGTGTCAGCTGAAGGTCAAGGTCACAATTGAAGGTCAAATATCAAACAATCAAATATTACACAGTATGTCGTGTCCGCTCTGTAAGTCCTACACTAATTGAAGGATTTTCTTCAAACTTGGCTCAAATGTTCACCTCAACAAGGAGATGTGCAGAACCGATGTAACCCATGTGTCAGCTCAAGGTCAAGGTCACAATTGAAGGTCAAATATCAAACAATCAAATATAACACTGTATGTCGTGTCCGCTCTGTAAGTCCTACACTAATTGAAAGATTTTCTTCAATCTTGGCTCAAATGTTCACCTCAACAAGGGGATGTGCAGAACCCATGTCACCCTTTTGCCGGCTTAAGGTCAAGGTCACACTTGAAGGTCAAAAATTGACTTAGAAAATATTCTTAAATTTTAACATTTATTTGAATATTTCTGAATCTAGAAAAGGTATTTGCTTGAAACTTAAAATGTATTTGAAGTGTCACAGTTAAGATATGCTGGTCAAGTTTCATAACTCTGTTCTGCATTTTAACAAAGTTATGCCCCCTTTTAAGTCTTCAAATTTACATACAATCAAATATATAACAATATGTTGTGTCGGCTCTATAAATCCGATACTAATGGAAGAATTTTCTTCAAACTTTACTCAAATGTTCACCTCAACAAGGTTATGTGCAGAATCCATGTCACCTTTGTGCCTTCTAAAGGTCAAGGTCACACTTGAAGGTCAATAATTGACTTAGAAAATGTTCTTAAATTTTAACATGTACTTGAATAATTCTGAAACTAGCACAGGTATTTGCTTGAAACTTTAAGATATATGAGATGTCGCAAATAAGATATGCAGGTCAAGTTTCATTACTCTGTATTGCATTTTGACAAAGTTATGCCCCTTTTTAAGTCTTCAAATTTACATACAATCAATACTAGACAGTATTTTGTGTCCGCTCTATAAATTCTATACTAATGGAAGGATTTTCTTCAAACTTTACTCAAATGTTCACTCCAACTGGGTGATGTGCAAAACCCATGTAACCCGTGTGCCAGATTAAGGTCAAGGCCACACTTGAAGGTCAAAAATTGACTTAAAAATAAAATGTTTAGTACAAAGGGAAAATGAAAGGTTTTTTGTAACTGTTTCGAACATGATTTGATAATATATTTATACTATTACCTGTACTGTTAGTCTTTTTTTCACCAGAGATAATTTCTTTTTATGTATTTATGCCACACAAGTTATTGCCTTAACCACCTTTCCAAGTCCTCTTCTGTCAAGGACATTGGTGGGGGTATGAATCGCATTCAGCGATAGTTCTAGTTTCATGTAGAACTCTGGTTGCCATGGCAACCAAAAGAAAAATCTTTAATTATCTTCTTCTAAATAACCCAAAGAGCTAGAGCTTAGATATTTGGCATGAAACATCTTCTAGTGAGTGTTTACCAAGTTTGTTCAAATAAAAGCCCTGGGGTCAAAATTGGCCCCGCCCCAGGGGGTCATTGATTTTTCCTATATGCATATAGTTAAAACTTAGAAATCTTCTTTTAAAGAACCAAAAGAGCTAGAGCTAAGATATTCAGCATGGAACATGTTCTAATGGATGTCTACCAAGTTTGTTCAAATAAAAGCCCTGGGGTCAAAATTGGTCCCGCCCAGGGGGACATTGATTTTCTTTATATGTGTATAGCAAAAACTTAAAAATCTTCTTCGAAAAAACCTGAATAGCTAGAGTTTAGATATTAAGCATGAAACATCTTCTAGTAAGTGTCTACAAAGATTGTTCAAATAAAAGCCCTGGGGTCAAAACTGGCCCTGCCCCAGGGATGTCATTGTTTTTAAATATATGTGTAAAGAAAAAACTTTAAAAATCTTCTTTTAAAAAACACAACGAGCTAGACCTGAGATGTTTAGCATGAAATATCTTCTAATGGGTGTCTACCAAGTTTGTTCAAATAAAAGCCCTGGGGTTTAAACTGGCCCCGCTCCGGGGGGCCTATATACAGGTGAGCGACTTCAGGGCCATCATGGCCCTCTTGTTTAAACAATATGACTGGAAAATATTAAGCTTTTTTTTTTTTTTTTTTCAAAATGTCTCATATTTCCATTTGTTCAGAGATTAGTTCACTGTTATTAAGTAGAAAAGTCCAAAAAAGATGTAGGAGACAAGTTACATCTGTTGTCAAGGTGATTGTTTCGTTGTATATACAGTTTGTCTCTTTTTGAATGTCCGGTGAACAATCAACCCTGTAGTATTAACCATATTTCTCTCATGCTGCAGAGTGGTTTCAAAAAATTCTAAAAAGTATAGTGTATTATAAAATGATTTTTTATGCTCCCCGAAAAATTTCGGGGGAGCATATAGTCGTCGGGTTGTCCGTCCGTCTGTCCGTCCGTCAGTCCGTACGTACTTCCCGAATTCGTGTCCGGCCCATAACTTTGTTATTTGAAGTCGGATTTTAAAATTATTTCACAGAAATGATCACCATATTGAGACGATGTGTCGCGTGCAACATGTTGGTCGCTTCCTTGAAGGTCAAGGTCACAGCATGACCTTGCAGCAAAATCGCGTCCGGCCCATAACTTCCCTATTTGAAGTAAGATTTAAAAAGTATTTCACAGAAATGATCATAATATTAAGATGACATGTCATGCACAACATTTAAGTCGCTACCTTGAAGGTCAAGGTCACAGCATGACCTTGCAGCAAAATCGTGTCCGACCCATAACTTCCTTATTTGAAGTCAGATTTTTAAACTATTTCACAGAAATGATGACCATATTAAAATGGCGTGTCATGCGCAACATTTGGCTCGCTACCTTGAAGGTCAAGGTCACAGCATGACCTTGAAGCAAAACTGTGTCCGGCACATAACTTCATTATTTGAAGTCGGATTTTACAACTATTTCACAGAAATGATCGCCACAATGAGACATTGTGTCGCGCGCAACATTTGGGTCGCTACCTTGAAGGTCAAGGTCACAGTATGACCTTGCAGCAAAATTGTGTCCGGCCCATAACTTTGTTACTGGAAGTCGGATTTAACAACTATTTCACAGAGATGATCACCATATTGAATCGACGTGTCGCATGCAACATTTAGGTCACTACGTTGAAGGTCAAGGTCACAGCATGACCTTGCAGCAAAATAATGTCAGGGGCATAACTTTGTTATTTGAAATCGGATTTTACAACTATTTCACAAAAATGATCACCATATTTAGACAATGTGTCGTGCACAATATTTGGGTTGTTTTTACACTTTGAACTTTGTCTGTGACATAACTCTGACTCAACAAGAGGTATACCTTCCTGTGTCCAAAACCTATTCGGGGAGCATCACCCGGTTCAACCGGCTCTTGTTTTATATTTTTTTTTAAGTTTCAGTTTTCATTTCTTGATTTTGTATGTATTTTAAGATCATTTGCATAGACATGTTTTACTTTAGTTTCTGTATTATTAAGATGTTTGACCTTTTATTTTCTTGTAACAGGTTTATATACAACAACAGGTCTAGTCTTTTTTAACTTTGATAATGGTTTTATAATAACGGGATAGTTTTATTTATTTTAAATCAGTTTCATTCTGTCTTTAATGTTTTTATATGTCTGCCATATGTTAAGGGTAGATTTAACATATTCCTATAATCTTTGTTATATAACAATTATAAGATTTGAAATTTCTTAATTTAAACATGTACTGCCAGGTGTTTGATCCAATTTTATTTTTTTATCTTTTGTTCTTTACATATTATGCACATTTTTCTGAACACATTTTTTATCAAGGCAATTGAATTTATAGATTTTTAATAAAATAATGTTTTAATTTCTTTTGTGCATTGAGGTTCAAATAAAGTACATACATGTAATGCTTGAATACTATATAAAGTATCAACAGAAATCTTGATTTTTACCAAGCTAACCTGTCTAAGATGGTAGAACATATTGACCAGATTTTATATGATGAACATAAATAAAAGTGTTGCCATGGTTATAAATATATACTAAATTTAGAACTGCCTTTTGAACTTAATAAATTGACATATAACAAATTAGCAGCTAAAGATTATATAAGATGGTTACATGAACATGCATGCAATCATTTCTAGACTTGTCTACAGGACACATTTTGTCTGGGTTTAAAACTGGTGTGGTAGGATTGGGATTTCTTCAAGATCTCAAAAAAAAAAAATGTTTTTAAACTAACATAGTGGCTTATAACCTCATTTACTAACAAAAAATTAACTTAAAATTGTTAAGGAAAAGAAATATAAAGAAAAAGTTTGTCATCCTGTCCAGTAATGCCTTACTGTTCAAAACTTTCTCATATTTATATTTTGTTTTACCAAAGATCATAATTATATGTCTTGTTTGTTTTTTATTATTTTTTTTTGTTGTTTCCTATAATAATATTCAGTATATACATGTACATATAGTTAAGTATTTAGTTATAATTAGTTACTTATATAGACACAATGTTAGCTTTTCTTTGCTTTATTTAATCCAGGAAGAGATTTTTAATTATTAATGGAGCTTTTGCAACGGAACAGTTGTTTATGAATATTGGTTTGTAGACCTTGTGAACATAAACTATCACCTTTGAAGATCTAAATGATCGAACTACTCACTTTTGAGATAAAAGAATAAAGTATCACACTTTTGAGATAAATATAAACTATCACACCTTTGGGTAAACGTCCACATTTTTGGGCATACAAAACTGTCACATTTTGATATAAACAATAATTTATCACACTAAGAGTTAATTACATGTGTATACTATCACATTTGAGATAAAATATCACTGTTTTATATAAATCATCACACTATTTGCTATAGCTAAATGTTGCCTTTTAAACTCCAACTTGAACACTGCTATGTAAAACTCTGAAACTGTTCAAAATTCATATTTTATTTTATTTTTCCTGTTTCTTTATTGATCTTTTTTCTCTTTTATATATATATTTTTAGATACTTTACAGTGTCTTGCAGCAATATGTATGATTTTTATGTAACTATGTTTTATTGTGATGAAACTTCATTATAGATTTGATGATAAGCTGTGTCACTTACGTTTTACAAGCAATTTTCAGTAAATGTTATTGACAATTATAATTTACATCACATGTATAAGGGCGAGACAGTCTGCATGTCAGCCTGTGCTGACTATATTTTATTTTATTTAAATTTAGTGTCATGATATCAGATCTCCTTTAACTATTAATGGATTGTTCCAAAATCAAAGCAGGACTTGTCCATTGCACAAATTTAGGGTTTGCATAAATAAAAATAATGAAAGATATTTTTGTAAAGATAAAAATAAAAAGTTTTTAAATAGTTTAATTGAAATTATGGGTTTGAAATTTGTTTTCTTAATGGTAAGGTATAAATCACCATATCATACACATGTATTTTTAAAGACTTTAAAACAGTTCAGCACGAAAACCGAATTTGAAACCTGCTTGTTTTCGATTAAATGGAAAGTTTAGATATCATTATATAAGTTATGTGTAATTATTTGTTAAAATTTAAGCTTGTTTAAATATTGTATAGAATATTAGCATATAGAAATCATGCAGAGAGGTTAGGTAAGGTTTTGTGCACATAAATGTTCTGCTATTTTATTTTCATACTTGTATTAGGGGCAATATTAATAAAGTTTTATAATACATTTGAAGGTGGTTGTTTTATTTCATTTTTTTTACCTTGCATACTGTGTTAATAAGAGGTGCTTTTACATCAAGTACTTAAAGCAGTGGACATACCATAGTGTGTAACTTTATTCTGCTTTGGAATCCCCTCATTGATAGGTTTATAATTTTCTGGTTCTTCGGCAACATTGATTCTAGCACATATAAGTGTTGAAAAATGAGTATGTTCATGCCGGTGCTAAGGGGGATCACTTCTCCATAGTCTTTCTGTCCAAGTCTAGTCTTTCTGTCCAAGTCTAGTTGTGCATATCATCGGCATTTTCCAATTCAATGATTTTTGTCAAGAGTTGTGGCTCTTTAATTATTTTATTTTTTAAATTTGTCCGGACTACTCCTCTTATACCACTTATGCAATTTCAATGAAACTTTACAGGATTGATCGATGGCTCAAGTACTTGCGCATATATCACGGGTTTTTCGGTTGAAGGATTTTTAGCCAAGTTATGGCCCTTGAAAAAAAAACATTTTGGTTTTTTAATGATTTTTGTGTCTCCTGCTACTCAGTAGCTGCAACATACTATTGCCTATCATGAGGCGACACATGTGATCACTGATGGCCCTTGTTATTATATATGAGCCAATTTGTATAATATGTGCAGACTGGTCTGGATCCATGCTGGTCGCAAACGCATTACGTTAGTTTTGTCGTGATGCGGTTCATATATAAACTGTAGAGCTGTAAAAAAATAAATGAACACTTGTAATAACTGTGAAGATAACTTTTATTAAATTCAAAGACAAAGCATTAACAGTTAATGGCCTGCATTAACAAATATTTGAAATACATTAACAAGGTAACAGTCACATATAATTAATGATCAAATACATGCACAATAAAATAGTATCTAGAAGTCAAAATTAAGTAAAATCTTAATCACAAAGTTGTCTTTACCATTAAAAATATATTTAAACCCTTGAAATAGTATATACTTACCAAAAAGAAATACCACTTATAAGGTAAATTTATTTTTTTCTAACCAAATCTGACTTGCATTTAAAAAAAAAATTTCAAATGATTTTTGACTTGATAATGAATTTCTCAGCTTTTAGACAGATCATTCAAAAGAATAAGGGTCTTAATTTTATATTTCATCATCAAAGATTGACGTTTCAAGTTTCAGAACGTTATAAACTTTTTTTCTAATAGTTGTATTCCATCTATGCTTTAATTAAATTGTGTTATGTTATGTTATCAGTATTAGCATGCAAGACAATTAACTTTGAGAGATGTACAGATTTCTATATATGAACATAAAAATACTACTTTTTTAAATTCTAAACCATGATTGGTAAGTAAAATATCCACTATAGATCAAGTTAAGAAAACATAACTTCATATACTGATTAACATCATATTTTAATTTAACAGATTTA